AGACTTCTTTCCAAAATCGACAGAGAGACGTTCTAAAAGCAAAGCACTGAAACCAGAACCAGTACCACCTCCGAAGGAGTGGAAAACTAAAAATCCTTGAAGACCAGTACAATTATCTGCGAGTTTGCGAATACGATCGAGTACGATATCAATAATTTCTTTTCCGACTGTGTAATGACCACGAGCATAATTGTTTGCTGCATCTTCTTTACCAGTAATCAACTGTTCTGGATGGAACAATTGACGGTAGGTACCATTACGAACTTCATCGACGACGGTAGGTTCTAAATCAACGAACACTGTACGGGGAACATGTTTACCCGCCCCTGTTTCAGAGAAAAAGGTGTTAAATGAATCGTCAGAAGTTTTGGAGGTTTTGTCAGATGGCATTTGACCATCAGGCTGAAATTATATAGATAAGTAAATTTATTAGTCAAGTAATATAAAGTTCATTAATTAACGTATACTGTATACTGTATATTTATTTATTTATTTTATTTTTTTTTATTCTATTTCAATATAGAATAGCAAATAAGTGCAAGTAAACACGCGTTTTGACAAAGAACAATAAGAAAAAATGCATTTATGGATGTCATGTATGTGTTTAGGCGCGTATTTGAGAGGCTGTGCACTTATAGAGGGTGTGCTTAGAGAGGATTCATAGTATTTCATAAGGGTTTACTTACTTGGATACCGTGTTCAAGGCAATAAAGTTCCCAGCAAGCATTACCAATTTGGACGCCAGCTTGACCAACGTGGATAGAAATACATTCACGCATATTTAATAATAGCGTTTATTGATACTTTAAAAGCAAATATTATTTATCAATAATATAGAGAGTGGAAGATATTTTTTTAGAAATATTCTGAGAATTGGTTTGTACTCAGATTAGAGAACCTGAAAATTTTGCAATTTGGTTGGTATCACTTTTAAGAGAAAGTTTGAGGGACAACACAAAAGTATTGTAATCAAATACTCTTGTTTATAGCAGACCTGTCAAGATAAAAGAATTAGTCCATTATTTACTAGTATGGTTAGATTTGATCTGATGAATGTAAATTAGTACGATATTATATATTATGTATGTACGGTATGTACATGTGTGGCAGGTTGTTATAAGATTATAAATTCCAAAATAGTTAATCTTATTGTATATATGCACTACGTAGTTGGTCTTCTATATACTTATATATTCACAGTAGCACAATTTGTCACGGGTAAAGTTTACTATGAATTAGCTACGTACTACTATGTTTCCTCTTTATTTATGAGACAAGCAATAATAAAAGTTACGTTGTGCTTATAGAATTTAATTAATGAAGAGTTAATTTAAAAATTTAACACTATGATTTATAGATACAACTTAATGATTCGGTTTTCATAACCCGGCCGGGTCAACCCTTACAAATTTTTATGTATATTTACTATCCGGGTGAGTTTTTTAAAAAAATCTATAAAAATTTTATATGTTTTTTATATATAAAATTTCTTGAAAATAAAATTAAAAGCCAGGTTGCTGGGTCACTTTTGAAAATTTTATGTTATGAAAACCGAACTATTAAGTTTGTATGGCCTTAAATGTAGACTAAATTATTTTCAATTAGAATTTTGATATTTTTTTATCAAACAAATTTGATCTTATATGTCTGTTACAATAAACTTGAAACATTCTAAGATTATAGATACACATGAATATTAAGATATATATATTGAAATTGTATAAAGTATAGTATTACAAAATACCAATTATTTATTTTATTGTTCAAAGTGTAGCAAAGATTCTTTACATATAAATATATTTGATCTCCATAAATACAATTTTTTTTATTTATTCTCTATGTTGTTAAAGCCCAGTCTCTACAAGTGGCATATAAAAACGTTTATTGTATAATTTATAAATTTAATATTTTAATATTAATAGTATAATAGATTTTATAGCAGTTTTGGCATAAAAATTTTATTCTTAACTATATTATGCATTACTAGAATATACCAAGAATTGAAAGGAAAAGTTCTAAAGGTGCTTACAATAAATGCTTAGAAGAGAAAAGAGCATTAGTTATAATATGTTATTCAAAAAATTCAAGAATGATTTAAAAAAAAAATAATTTTTTTTAAAAAACTAAAAGAAAAAAAATAAAAGTAATATGTTTACAAAAAACTAGAACTTATTATGTATTACTAGAATATATTATGAATTGAATGGGAAGATTCCAAAGGCATTTTTAATAAATACTTAAAAAAAAAAGAGTAATAGTTAAAATTTGTCATTTAATAAATTCAAAAATAATTTAAAAAAAAAAATTAACTTTTCTAAAAACTAAAAGAAGAAAAGAATGAAAGTAATATATTTACAAAAAACCAGAATATATTATGTGTTATCTGAATATACTAAAAATTGAAAAAGAAAGTTTTAAAAGTACCTTTAATAGATGCTTAGAAAAGAAAAGAGCATTAGTTATAATATATAATTCAAAGAATTTAAAAATAATTTTTAAAAAAAATAAACTTCTCTAAAAAACTAAAAAAAAGAATGAAAGTAATATGTTTATAAAAAAATCAGAACATATTATGCATTGCTGGAATATATTATGAATTAAATAAAAAGATTTAAAAACATTTTTAATAAATTCTTAGAAAAAAAAAGAGTATTAGTTAAAATATGTTATTTAATAAATTCAAAAATGATTTAAAAAAAAAATAAGCTTCTTTGAAAAACTAGAACAAGAAAAAGAATAAAAGTAATATGTCTACAAAAAACCAAAATATATTATGTATTACCAGAATATACATGAATTAAATAAAAAAGCTTTAAAAGCACTTTTAATAAATGCTTAAAAGAGAAAAAAGTATTATTTAAAATATTATTCAAAATGAATTTAAAAAAAAAATAGACTTCACTAAAAACTAAAAAAAAAAAAAGAATGAAAGTAATATATCTATAGAAAAACCAGAACACATTATATATCACTAAAATATACTATAAATTAAATAAGAAGATTTCAAAAGCATCTTCAATAAATGCTTGGAAGAGAAAAAATTAGTTAAAATATTATTCAATGAATTTAAAAATGATTTTTTTTTAAAAAAATAAACATTTCTAAACATTAAAAGAAGAAAATGAATAGAAGTAATATATTTACAAAAAACCAAAACACATTATATATCATTAGAATATACCATAAATTAAAAGAAAAGATTCTAAAGGTATCTTCAATAAATATTTAGAAGAGAAAAGTATATTAGTTAAAATATATTATTTAATAAATTCAAGAATGATTTAAAAAAAATAGATTCTCTAAAAAACTAGAAGAAAAAGAAAAGAGTAATATATTCACAAAAAACTAAAACATATTATATATTATCAGAATATACTATAAATTAAATAGAAAATTCTAAAGATATCTTCAATAAATACCAAAAGAGTAAAAGCAATATGTTATTTAACAAATTTAAAAATGATTTTAAAAAAAACAAACTTTTTTGAAAAACTAAAAGAAGAAAAAAAATGAGAGTAATATATTTACAAAAAATCAAAACATATCATATATTACTAGAATATTTCAAGAATTGAAAAAGAAAATTTTAAAGGCATCTTTAATAAATGCTTAAAAGAGAAAAGAGTATTGATTTAAAAAAAAAAAATAGACTTTGAAAAACTAAAAGAAAAAAAATAAAAGTAATATGGGTATTATATATTAAAACAGCTCTTTTTTATATATATCTTATTTTGAGATAATTGAATTTAATTACTTGTTTTGATTTTTAGACTGATTTAGAATTAATTAAATTTCTTAATTTTGATTGGTTAAAGATAGCAGGTAACTATTAGATAATTTTGTAATGTGTTGACTCTATAAATCCTCATGTAATTTTTCTTTAATCTTATCTTGATTTTTTATTATACAAATCAACATTTATTTATAATTGAAAAATATCAATTATATTAAAATTTATATGAATATAATAAAAGCACATTTTTTAAAAAATTATAAAAAAGAGCTATTTTAATATGTAAAACCCTATCTATATATTTGAAAAAATCAGAACATATTATATATTATTAGAATATATTATAGATTAAAAAGAAAGATTTTAAAGACACCTTTAACAAATACTTAGAAGAAAAAAGTGTATTAGTTAAAATATATTATTTAATAAATTTAAGAATGATTTAAAAAAAAAAAATAGACTTCTCTGAAAAACTGAAAGAAAAAAAAGAACAAAAGTAATATATTTATAAAAAACTAAAACATATTATACAGTCAACTCTGTATATAATAAACCTTTTTATAATGAACTCTGGATATAACAAACTTAAAATTTTTAAATTTTAATATTAATTCGTATAACAAGAGCTATGGCTCTTAAGAAACATAGTAATACTGTATAACGAACTTTTTTTTTGGCCAGAACTAAGGGTTTGGTATAGAAAAAGTTGACTGTATACTAGAACATATTATATACTAGAACATATTATATATTATCAAAATATACTATAATTAAATAGAAAGTTTCAAAAGTATCTTTAATAAATATTTAGAAAAGAAAAAGTATTAGTTAAAATATGTTATATAATAAATTCAAGAATAATTTAAAAAAAATATATACTTTTCTATAAAACTGGAAGAAAAAAAAAAGTAATATATTTATAAAAAACTAAAACATATTATATATTACTAGAATATATTAAGAATTGAAAACAAAAGTTCTAAAGATGTTTTTAATAAATGCTTAGAAGAAAAAAAAGTATTAGTTGTAATATATTATTCAAAAAATTTAAGAATGATTTTTAAAAAAAATACTTCTTTAAAAAACTAAAAAAAAATAAAAAAATAAAAATAATATATCTACAAAAAAACTAAAATATATTATATATTACTAGAATATACTATTCATTAAAGAAGAAAGTTTTAAAGACACCTTTAATAAATACTTAAAAGAGAAAAAAGCATTAGTTAAAATATGTTATTTAATAAATTCAAAAATGATTTAAAAAAAAAAACTTCTCTAAAAACCAGAAGAAGAAAAAGAATGAAAGTAGTATATTTACAAAAAAAACAGAATATATTATATATTACTAGAATATAAATAGAAAGATTCTAAAGGCACTTTTAATAAATGCTTAAAAGAGAAAAAAAATATTAATTAAAATATATCATTCAACAAATTCAAGAATAATTTTTTAAAAAAAGACTTTTCTAAAGAGAATTGCTATTTGCATTATAGTTATACAAAGATCTTTTTAATTTTATTACTTTATTATTTACAAACTTTTTAAACTATGATCAAAAATATCTTAATAATTACTTGATTAAAACCAATAAAATTTTTTTATTAAAATTCTACAGATTTGTAGAATTCAAATAAAAAAACTATTAATTTTAATTAAATAGCTGCTAAAATATTTTTAATAAAGGTTTATAAAAAATTTTAAAATATCTATATTATTTAATAATAATAGCTAATATTTGTACTAAAACTTTAATTGAAGATATCTTAGTACCTATTTAACCAAAATTAATAAACTTTTTTTTATTTGAATTTTACAAATTTGTAGAATTCAAATAAAAAAAATATTTATTAATTTTGGTTAAGTGGTTGCCAAGATACCTTTGGATTGATCTTTAGTATAACTAAATAATATAAAATTATTATCTCTTAATATATAAACCAACACAGACAAATTTGTCTGTATTTTTGCACTTTTTTAGCTCTGATTTACTTTTTTAAAATATCAAAATATTTAAATAAAACTTTATACAATTATATTTGAAA